TATTCTTCTGAGGGCAGCTCTGAAAGACCGCCTGGGAGACTTTATCTGCATAATAAGACAACCTTTGTTCCTAGTGAAGTTCCATCCCTGCCTTCTTGCTACTTCCCCCAGGGCTTGAGAAATTTCTCCCAGGCTGCTGATCTTTGGGTTCATTGATTTAACCTAAAAATAATTTACTACCCCTCCAAAATTATCAACAGTGCCTCCCAACTTTTTTCTCCCTCTGAGGAAGGTATTTGGTATTTAAGCCGCAACCATATGGCCCTTCTTTGAGTTTCATGTTTGCAGGACTCCCATTTCCATATGCACCTTAGTATATTTGCATGCATTTTTCTCTCATTAATCTGTCTATTGTCAGTCATTTTCAACAAAGCTTCCGTGGGTAGAGAGAAAGCTTTCTCTCAGTTTCTACAATGTTATGTAAAAAATATTACAAGGATACAAAGAAGTAAGTTGAAATGAAAGGTTTTCAGTGTTCTCTCCTAAATTAAAGGTTCTTCTCCTCTAACCCACTACCTTATAAGACATAATAAAGCTCCAAGAACTCAAAACCTTTTTTCAAATAAATATGTAGAAAGTACCTAATGTTTTTATTGGAAGGTAAATATGAGCATATGGACACATTAAAAAATCTCAGTTACAAAACTTCAGCCTCCTTATTACTGGCTTGTCTTTAATGTGCTCCTCTGGCCTATGACCCAGCCTCTTATTTCCTCATCTTTGATCTACCAATACTATTTTTTCCCTCTATTTTCGTCCCTATTTATTTATCCTCAGGTCCACTCACCTTTCGCAGAACTTTCCACCATTTCCTCTTCCTGTGCCTTCTTGGATCAAATTCTAACACATCCTTATATTTTTCTACAATATCATTTAACTAAAAATCACAGCCCTCAAGCAAATATCTTCTTGATAAGCTACTCCATCTTTCACAGCAAAGAGATACAGATAAAAAAACTGTTCCATGCTATTTTCTTCCACCCTTGCTTGAACACTCTATTTTGAAACATATCTTGTTTCATACCATCTTTCTCCCATCTGCATTGCTGTTGTTTCAGCGCTTCCAGATCTCTGTTACTGAGTAGTTTATTGCTAAAATCACCTGAAAGGATTACCCAAAAGAATCCTTAATGACTTAGTCTTACAGTCGCTTTCTAATTCCAGCATCCCTCATAGTCACTCCATCTTAAACCCCATTATTTTCAAGTCTTGACTCTCCTACCCACTTTCAGCATATAACCTCAAATTCTCCTTAAATTGGAAAAAAGAATCAGGGCATTTTTTCCTTTCCTTCTCTCTGAAAAGATACAGTACTCCACGGCTTCCTTTCATAGGCTTTCCCATTTACATGTGTTCTTAATGCCATGTCTTAGAAACCCTTGTCATAGATACCCTTGTTCTCATTTTCACTGATCCCTAAAATGTTTCTACCACCAATCTCATGTATACTCAAAACTTCTCTAAAAACGTTTCCTGGGGTTTGCTAGCTCACTAAGTTTCTGATCTTTTCCTTTCTTCTTTCACTGTTAAATTCCTTAAGGAGCAGTCTCTTCTGCTTTCTTTATGACTTCTTAATATTTTTTACCTCATTATGTAAGTATTACTCTTACCCCTTCCTAAATATACTCACTCAATTTTCATAATTGTCCTCCTAGAGATGAGATCTAGTAGTCCTTTATGGCTCTTGCTTCTCCTTAAACTCTGTAGAATTTGATTAAGTTGGCTACATTCTTTTTGAATCTTTCTCTGTGAAACTGTAAGTCTTAATGACAATTCATATTCTCTTATACTACTTTACTTTCCTTTTTTGTATGCCTTTCTAAAGTTCTCATTCCCTTAGTGTTCTGAGCTTTCAAAACATTTTATGCATGTTGATGACATCAGAATTTCCAATGCTAGCTACTACTTGCTCCTGAATCCTAAAATCAGAGTGAAAGATTACTATTAGATAATGCCTCCTAAATATTCTTCTAGCAGCTAAAGTACAAAATAATTAGAACAGAACTCATGAAAATAGTTTCTCTTTCTAGCCACGAAGGATTAGCTGATGTCAGACTAAATCTCCCAATGAGAACAAATACAAAAGCTATTTCAATACAAAAACAATTGCTTGAAGGAATTTCAAGAGCCAGAAGTTGAAGGATCATTATGCTAGAGAGAAGGAAAATACATTGAGATGTAGCTGCCATCACACTTAATCCTCCTTTGAGGTTTTGCAAAAACAAAGCAAGCATGGTTGTCAGGATTCAAAAAGAAGCTGCTAAAAGGATTGTATTAGTTCATTTTTACACTGCTGATAAAGACATACCCAAGGCTGGGCAATTTACAAAAGAAAGAGGGTTAATGGACTTACAGTTCCATGTGGCTGGGAAGGCCTCACAATCATGGTAGAAGGTGAAAGGCATGTCTCACATGGAGGCAGACAAGAAGAGGGCTTGTGCAGGGAAACTCTCCTTTTTAAAACCATTAGATCTTGTGAGACTTATTCACTATCATGAGAACAGCACGGCAAAGACCTGCCCCCATGATTCGACTACTTTCCACCAGGTCCCTCCCACAACACATGGGAATTCAAGATGAGAACTGTGTGGGGACGCAGCCAAACCATATCATTCTGCCTCTGCCCCTGCTCCTCCCAAATCTCATGCCCTCACATTCCAAAACAATCTTGCCTTCCCAACAGTCCCCCAAAGACTTTACCCATTTAAGCATTAACTCAAAACTCCACAGTCTAAAGTCTCCTCTGGGACAAGGCAAGTCCCTTCTGCCTATGAGCCTGTAAAATCAAAAGCAAGTTAGTTACTTCCTAGATGTAATGGGGGTACAGGCATTGAGTAAATACAGCCATTCCAAATGGGAGAAACTGGCCTAAACAAAGGGACTACAGGCCCCATGCAAGTCTAAAATCCAGCAGGACAGTCAAATCTTAAAGTTCCAAAATGATCTCCTTTGATTCCATGTCTCACACCTAGGTCATGCTGCTGCAAGAGGTGAGCTCCCACAGCCTTAGGCGGCTCTGCCTCTGTGGCTTTGCAGGGTACAGACCTCCTCCTGGCTGCTTTCACAGGCTGGCGTTGAGTGTCTGTGGCTTTTCCAGGTGCATGGTGCAAGCTGTCAGTGCATATACCATTCTGGGGTCTGGAGGATGGTGGCCCTCTTCTCACAGCTCCACTAGGCGATGCCCCAGTAGGGACTATGTTGGGGCTGTAACCCCACATTTCCCTTCTGCACTGCCCTAGCAGAGGTTATCCATGAGGGCCCTGCCCCTGCAGCAAATTTCTGCCTGGGCATCCAAGCATTTCCACATATTCTCTGAAATCTAGGCAGAGGTTTCCAAACCTCAATTCTTGACTTCTGTGCACCACAGGCTCAGCACCACATGGAAGCTGCCAAGGCTTGGGGCTTCCACCCTCTGAAGCAACAGCCTGAGCTGTACCTTGGCACCTTTAAGTCACAGCTGGAGCAGCTGGGATGAGGGTACAAAGTCTCTAGACTGCACACAGCACTATTTTTTCCAACTAAACCTTTGAGCCAGTGATGGGAGGGGCTGCCGCCAAGATCTCTGACATGCCCTGGAGACATTTTTCCCATTGTCTTGAGTAATTAACATTCAGCTTATTACTTATGCAAATTTCTACAGCCAGTTTGAATTTCTCCTCAGAAAATGGGATTTTCTTTTCTATCACATTGTCAGGCTGCAAAATTTCCAAACTTTTAGGCTCTGTTTCCTTTTTAAAACTAAATGCTTTTAACAGCACCCAAGTCACATCCTGAATGCTTTGCTGCTTAGAAATTTCTTCTGCCAGATACCCTAAATCGTCTCTCTCAAACTCAAAGTTCCACAAATCTCTAGGGCAAGGGCAAAATGCTGTCAGTTTCTTTACTAAAACAAAACAAGAGTTACCTTTGCTCCAATTTCCAACAGGTTCCTCATCTCCATCTGAGACCACCTTAGCCCGGATTTCATTGTCCATATCATTATTAGCATTTTGGTCAAAGCCATTCAACAAGTCTCTAGGGAGTTCCAAACTTTCACACATTTTCCTGTCTTATTCTGAGCCCTCCAAACTGTTCCAACCTCTGTCTGTTACCCAGTTCCAAAGTTGCTTCCACATTTTTGGGTATCTTTTCAGCAGCACTCTACTGGTACCAAGTTACTATATTTATCTGTTTTCCCACTGCTGATAAAGACACACCTGAGACTGGGAAATTTACAAAAGAAAGAGGTTGAATGGACTTACAGTTCCATGTGGTTGGGGAGGCCTCACAATCATGGCAGAAGGTGAAAGGCACATCTCACATGGTGGCAGACAAGAGAGTAGAGTTTGTGTGGGGGAACTGCTCTTTTAAAACTATTAGATCTCATGAAACTTATTCCCTATGTACTATTCAAGAGAAAAGCACAAGAAAGACCTGCCCTCATGATTCAACTACCTCCTACCAGGTCTCTCTGACAACACATGGGAATCCAAAATGAGATCTGGGTGGGGACACAGCCAAACCATATCAAGGATAAAATCTGGAAGTCAAGGCCACCATAGAAAAGGTGTTCTAGTAAATACTCCAGATTTCAATTAATGGTCCAGAATGACTATACCTTATAATAACAGTAAAGTTGAAATATAGGAGTTTCAACTAGAACAAGGCAATCTGCATAGCTCCATCTTTTATCAGAAGAAAACTAATTTTTCCCTGGAGGAAAATTATATTATCCTGAGACTCTACAAATTTTCATACACAATGTTCCACATTCAACCAAACATTAAAAGTCATGGTAGGAAACAGAACCAAATGACCAAAAAGCAAAGAAAAATAAATAAATAAAGACAGAACCAGAAATGATTCAAAAATTGAAGTTATAATACATGGACTTTAAAACTTTATAAATATGATTAAGTCATTTAAGAAAGTAGATGAAAAACAGAAATTTCTCCCCACAGAGCTGAAATTTATTTTAAATGAATCAGATAAAAATTCCAGAATGTGAGTCCCAGCCTGCTCCGCGCTGGCCAACGAGAGCAAACCCACCGACTGGCCTCTGCGGCGCTAACTCCTCGCTAGCTCTCCCCCTCACACACGCTCACACCCGGCTCAAGATGGCGGCGGCGGGGGACTCCGACTCCTGGGAGGCGGACGCATTCTCCATGGAAGACCCAGTGCGGAAGGTTGGGGGTGGCGGCACTGCCGGCCGGGACTGCCAGGAAGGTGAGGAAGAAGACAAGGACGTCAAGGATAACTGGGATGACGATGATGATGAAAAAAAAGAGGAAGCAGAAGTAAAACCAGAGATAAAAATTTCAGAAAAGAAAAAAATAGCAGAGAAGATAAAAGAGAAAGAACGGCAAGAGAAGAAAAGGCAAGAAGAAATTAAAAAGAGGTTAGAAGAACCTGAAGAGCTTAAAGTGCTAACACCAGAAGAACAATTAGCAGATAAACTGCGGCTAAAGAAATTACAGGAAGAGTCAGACCTTGAATTAGCAAAGGAAACTTTTGGTATTAATAATACAATTTTTGGAATAGATGCTATAAACCCATCTTCAAGAGATGACTTTACAGAGTTTGGAAAGTTACTAGAAGATAAAATTACACAATATGAAAAGTCACTATATTATGCCAGCTTTTTGGAAGTCTTAGTTTGAAATGTGTGTATTTCATTGGAAATTGATGACTTGAAAAAGATTACCAATTCACTGACTGTGCTTTGCAGTGAAAAACAGAAGCAAGAAAAGCAAAGCAAAGCCAAAAAGAAGAAAAGTGTGGTTCCTGGAGTGGGATTAAAAGCCACCATGAAAGATGATCTGGCAGATTATGGTGGTTATGATGGAGGATATGTACAAGACTATGAAGACTTCATGTGACATTTTATCTTTTCCTGGTGTCATCTTTATGTTGCCCACAATCCCTTGAACATGTAGCACAACTTACTTTCCTTACATTACTGCCAAATGCTACCATCAGAAGTGTAGTGTCTTTTGTGCTGGTTATTTAACCCCTCAAACTTAGGTGCTAATGTGCAAATGAGGAACTTGGATCTTGCTGCCAAGGGGTTAAAATTGGGAACTTCAGTTGCTACTAAATCATAGTTCAAAACAAACCCAATAATGTTGTCATTGTTGCTATCTGATTTCATAGCAGCTGTCACTAAATTGGAAACAAATGGTTACAATATGACAAAAAAATTGTGTAGTATTTACCAGCACCATTCGGTAATACAGCCTTAACCATACCTCCTTGAACTACTTCATAACTTGTCAAGAAAAGCAGTTTGCAGCAAGGGCATGTGGTGTGCACCTACTATTTAAATTGCTTTGTCTTAAAATTGAACATGAGGATATTAAAAATACATTTTGAAGAAGACTGCTTATCTCAGAGTGAAGATACTGCGGCTGAAAAGCACTAGTTTGATATAAAATTAAAATGACCAAAACCCTCCAGCTTTGAAGCTAAAGAAGGTAAACCTCTCCATTACTGCATTACATGTTGTGGACTCTCTTCAGTGCAAAGACTATTTATCAGGCTATTTCTACTGACGAAGTGCTTTAGATGGGGGAGGGGAAATCTTTACTTGTTTTTATTTGCCTGATTTAAGTGTCTGAGAAACCTATATTTGTTCTCTTAGGCTGCAACGGAACAATTTTACCAGGGTTTTGGCATTTCCTTTCCTTTATAAAACATGCTCAGCAAACTGCACCAGTTAACTACAGTCTAGTAAATTGTTATGTTAACAATTATGACATCTGCAATGTTTTATAAAGCAACTATTTTAATAAAATCACTATTGTGAGGAATTAAATTTTGTGTTACCTCCTAAGAGATATTTTTTTGAGAGTATAGAACACAGCTCTTGGGAGTAGTTCTCTTTTTCTATTAAAGCTTAATAAATGCTTAACATAGTTACAGCTTTAAAAAAAAAAAAAATTCCAGAATGGAACATATAACATGAAATAAAAGCTATCTTAAATGTAATCAATAGTAAATTAGCACAATCGAAGAATGGAGTAGTAACCTGCAAGGTGGTTGGTGGAAAATGTGCACATTGAAATACAGAGAGACAAATGTTAGAAATGAGAAAGCATATAAGAGATAGATGGAATGTGGGAAATGGCCTATCATATGTATAATTTGTGTTTCTAGATGACTGGAAAGAGAATGCAGTAGAAGTAATATTTGAAGAGATGCAACTTAATAAGTTTCGCAAACTTTATTATCATAAAGTTCTATGAACCCAAACTATAATTACAAAGAAAATCACATATAGGCATAAAATCATTAAAATGATGACAACTAAAGACAAAAAGAAAAAAATTTTAAGCATACAAAGAAAAAAATTACATTTTTCCTCCAAATGAACTGTCAGCCAGATTCTGAAGAGATACAGTGGAACCCAGAAAATAGTAAAACAATATATTTGAAATGCTAATATAAAACTGCCAACTTTGAATTTTATACTCAGTGAAAGTATCCTTCAAAAATAAAGAGAAAATAACATTTTCAGGAAAACAAAAATGATTGAATTCTTTTTTTTAAATATTTTAAATTACAGTGTATTAAATAAATATTAGCTTTGAATTCTTTAAAGAAATATTATGGTAAGAAAGAAGGAAAAGTTATCTGAGTTGGAATCATGTTAATGCAAGAAGGTATAAAGAGCTACCAGATAGGATAAGTATGTGCATAAATTGTTCAAAACAATAGACTGTCTATGGGGTTTAAAATATATGGAGAATTAAAATGCATAACCACAATAGGCCAAAGGAAGAATGAGGATATACGGAATTAAAAAATTTTTAATATTCTTGCATTGCTCAGAAAGTGGTAAAAGGTCTAACTGAAGTTACACTTAGATAAGTCAATGATGAATTTGTAATCTCTAGTGTAAAAATTAAAAGAGTAATAAATAATACAAAATTAATTGTTAAAATGAAATACTTAAAAATACTTGATTAAGTAAAAAAAAGGTGGAAAAGTCAAGATCAAAGGAATAAAAAGGGGAAGGGGAAAAGTAGTAAATAATATTTTAAAACATAAATATATCACTAGTTAAGTTAAACAAAATTAAACTAAATGCTCAAAGTGAAAGACTAAGGCTGTCAAACTAAATTAAAAAGCACATACAAACAGAAAAACCCTTTAAATATTACTAGAGATAAAGAGAAATAGGAACAGTTCAAATATGGAATAGTCAATTCAATAAGATATAATAATCCAAAATAGGTATTATCTAAGAACATAGCCTCAAAATATTGAAACAAACACTGAAAGACCAACTAGAAACTATAGATAATCCAAAAACAATAATTGGAGGTTTCAGCACACCTCTCTCAGTGGATGGAACCACCACATTCATATGAGAAATGACACCGTAGTTTTGACCAATACAACTTAAAAGCTTAACTTAATTGACATACATAGGTAAAGGGTATCTACAAAAAAAAAAAAAAAAAAAACCCCAGCTAACATCATATTTAATGGTGAAGGGATGGAAGCTTAAGATCAAAAACAAGACACGAATGTCCCTTCTCACCATTTCTATTCAAAACTGTATTGGACATTCTAGCTAGAATAATTATCCAAGAAAAATAAATAAAAAGCATCCAGATTAGAAAAGAAAGTTAACTATTTCTATTCACATATTGAAGCAAGAGCGGCTGTGAGAAATAGACCTCTCGAACACCGAACTGGGCAGGAAGAAGTGTTTATTATTATTATTATTATTACGGATGGGAGCCAGGCGACAACTTGTATAAATGACCAAGCTTACCTAACAAACAGAAGCTCTGCCTTTATATAGGCTTACACTTTAGATATTATACATGAAAGAATCTTAGGTTTACAGCCTTAGAAATTACAAGTGAAAGGGTCTTGGGTTTACAGTTTTAGAAATCACATATGAAAGGGTCTTGGGTTTACAGTTTTAGAAATCACATATGAAAGGGTATTGGGTCTACAGCTTTAGAAATTACATATCAAAGGGTCTTGGTCCATGGAAGAGTGGGGTGGGGTTTTAATCGTGTTTAAGTAAAAACAGTGTCTTCTAGAGAGATTCCCCCATACCATGCCTGCTATCTTATAGGAAAGTGATTTAGGAGGCGCCAGTAGGCCCAGCCTTTTCTTCTATTGAAATGCAGTGTGGAAGTCAAAGGGGAGGTGATCCTAGATGCCTGGGTCTCCTTCCTCAATATGATATAATCTAGTATGTAGAATACCCTAAGGAATCTACAAAAAATAATTAGAGTGAGTAAATAAGTTCAGCTAGATTGCAAGATACAATATCCATATATAAAAATCAATTGTGTTTACGTACACCAGCAATGAACAATCAAAAAATGAAATAAAAAATTCCATTTAAATAGCATTAAAAACAGTAAAATAGTAATAAATTTAACAAAAGTATGAGTCTTATACCCTGAAATCTACAAAACATAATTGAAAACAATTTAAAAGACCTAAAAAATGGAAAAACCCTATGTTCATGGATTAGAAGACTTAATATTACTTTTATTGTTTATATTGCTTCTGATTATAAGGTTCTACAAATGAAAATATTACAAAAAATAGTAGTACAAAATTGTTTAAAATAAAAAGATGAAATACTTTTATACATTTTAAGAATGAAAAAGTAACATTTTATTAGAAATGCAGCTCTGAAAGATAAATTCTAGAAAAATTTTTAAAATTAAAAAATTAAAAATGTAATATTGTTTAAATCACAATACTCCCAAAATTGATCTACTTACTTAATGCATTTTCTATCAAAATCCCAATGGCCTTTTACGCAGTGATTGATATGCTAATGTTAGAATGCATATGTAAATGCAAGAGACCACAGATAACAAAAACAATCTTGAAAGGAGCAAACTTGGAAGACTGATTTTAAAACTTAACCACAAAGATACAGTGTAGAAAGACAGGCAGATCAAGATGGCAGAATAGAAAGCTCCACCAATCTTCTCCCTCCCCTACACCACTCCCACCAGGGACACCATGTTAACAACTATGTACGCAGAAAAAACACCTTCATGAGAACTAAAAATCAGGTCAGCACTTTCAGTACCTGGTTTTAATTTCATATCACTGAAGGAGGCACTGAAGAGATAGCAAAACCAGCCCTGAATCCCCAATGACACCCCTCCTTCCTACCCAGCAGCAGCGGTGTGCTGCAGACCACGTGTCTCTGGGTGCTGGGGGAGGGAGAGCACAGCAATTGTGAGGCATTTAATTTAGTGCTATCCTGTTAGAGTAGAAAGAAAAACCAGACCAAACTCGGTTGACACCTACCCACAGAGGAAGCCTTTTTTTTTTTTTTCCATTTATTTATTTTATTGCATTTTAGGTTTTGGGGTACATGTGAAGAACATGTGAGATTGTTGCATAGGTACACACGTGGCAGTGTGATTTGCTGCCTTCCTCCCCATCACCTACATCTGGCATCTCTCCCCTTGCTATCCCAGAGGAAGCCTTTAAACCAACCGTAGTCAGAGGGGAATCATCTTTTGCCACCCAGGGTCAAAGTGCTCTGAGTCAGTTGTGAGGCCCCTGTTCTGGCCCTCGCTCTCAGAGGACATTTCTAGACACACCTTGGACCAGAAGAGAAGCCACTGCCTTGAAGTAATGACCCAGTCCTGACAGTATTCATCACCTGCTAACTGAAGAGCCCTTGAGCCCTGAATCAAGAGCAGCAATACACAGATACTACATCAAGGGCCTCGGTGAGCCTCTGAGAATTGCTAGCTTCAGGTGAGACTTAGCACATTACCAGCTGCAGTGGCTACAGGGCAAAACTCCTTCTGATTGAGAAAAGCAGAGAGAAAAGTAAAAGGAAATTTGTCTTGCATCTTAGGTACCAACACTGCCACAGGGGAGTA